CACTGCTGGATGAGAGACTTTCCAAGCATCTGGGGTCATGGGAGGGGTGGTGGTTTTATGACCATACTTCACCACGCTTGTGAAGTCGGGGAGGATAGACATTGGAGCATACAAGTACAGCACAACAATGGGTTTTTTTTCTGCACTGCCCTCTGCTGCCCACAACGTAGCCTCCCTGCACATTGCACAGACGTGAGCACAAGCACGTGGGCTCGCATCCTCCTCATCATCTGATAAGAGGCTGTAATTGTTTGAAATTCAGAAACAATGTGCCATCTTCTCTCAAACGTGCGTTGTGCAATGCTCATCTAAACTGGCATTTGATAAAGAAAAAAAGATTGTAGTTGAAATTCCACGTTATTGTGACGAGGGCATGTTCAGCCATAGAACAACTAGTGTTGCATTTTCACAAAGGTATGATGCCTTCACTTGGCAGTACAGTACTCATATTTTTGACCCTTGAGGGATGCTGATTGTGATAGGGCTGAGTCGATCATGACAGGAATTTGAATGCGTGATCTAAATAATTGGGAGGCCATCCGCTCTGTACTGAGCTCTGTTATAAATCGCATACTTTACTATAACTCGAGGGATCGGGTGGGCATCGGGAATGATCCATTGAAGGAAATACAACAGTGGCACATACAAGTTTATATTCAGCGTCGTGTTCTCGGTACACGTCAGTTCTCATGAAATGTGCACGGACGCGTGGCGAATTCCACCTGCAATGGTCACCGGAGCAGGCGCACACTCATTGTGGCCATTTGCGTAGCTGTCGAGTGTGCAGGCGGTGCAACTGCACCAGGACTCGTGGCCCGGAGGGACCCATGCACCGGGCTATGGAGGGAAAATTGGACAGTGGCCACCCTATTTCATTCCTTGCACGGGGGCCCATGCTATAACTGGTGGTGGTGGTGTGGATTATATCACTTTCATGACATTACCGCGGGTGGGTAAGTGAAGAAGAGCGATGACGTGATTAAGAACACACGCAACTTAATACATGATGTAATTCAACGTGCAGGTTTCGTGTGGTGGGGTAAAGTGTGGGACACTTATACCTCTTTTAAGATGCTTGACGGAAGAGTAGGCCAAATAACCCTCTTTGTTGAATGGCATGAACACGCACTTGCAGGCCTGCACCTTTACCTTTCACACTCCTATTCTTAGCTCTTTCGGTAAAGTCACGTTGAAGGGAAACAATAAAATAATAAAATGTATATAAAACAATAAAAATTCTCACGACGTTTCGACCATAACACAAACGGTCATCATCAGGTGATGGTCGAAACGTCGTGAGAATTTGTATTGTTTTATATATATTTTATTATTTTATTGTTTCCCTTCAACGTGACTTTACCGAAAGAGCTAAGAATATGAATTACTGCAGTCACGAAAGCTTTAAAACAAAATTTACCTTTCACACTTCGTAAAGCGAGCGCAATGGAGAGCCGAGAGTTTGACTCTGGTCTGGGTAGAACTCGTTTTACAATAAATGAATTCCAGAGTCGAGCTTGTGTCAAATTGCATATTTGATTTTAATGGTGCCTGATGAGATCCGCTGATTATACGAGAAGGTTATGCGCATTGTGGATGCGTATGGGCGGCCTCCATTAATCAAATTAAGGCAATTAACTGTGGATTGAAATGTGTAATAATTTACCCTGGCAAAGACATAGCAACGTGCGACTTTCGCACATCGGCGCTGTTCACGGTCCTGGTTTTCCCGGGCTGCACAATTGTTCTGATGTGATGGACATTTCTCGCGCAGAAACAAACTTGGTCGCACACAAACGTACGACTCCTACCGTACCGTCCTTCATCGCTCAAATCATTCATCGTGGTAGATGCAGGAGAAGCACTACGAAGTGGAGCGGCGACGCAGTGGTTCACGATTACCCGGGCCACGGCTTTAACGTCCGTAGCAAGGGGCTATCTGAAGAGGTCCTTGGGCACTCATTTCACCAAGCTGCACTGACCAGCGTGGTACGGTTGGGTCAAACACCCCCCCCACCCCCAACTTGACGGAAAGGCGAAGGGAGGAGGCCTTCATCCAGCAGTGGACAGAGTTGCTGTGCTTTGCAGCAAATTGCAAGTGGCACACACGCTCTGAGCTGCAACATCGACGACGGAGCAGAATCGTGCGTCTGGTTATCGCTTGATGTGTCCTGTATTTAATCACCTGAGGTCTCATTACGATTAATTATAATTCAACTGTCTAAGGTACACGTGGTCGATCAACACACAGCTGTTTAGTGACGTTGGTGCACAGTTGTGGTTTGTTCGCAATCCACGTGGATTTTTTTATTCCTGCCTGGCTCAAAATGAACACGTGGATGAAGGCTCCCAATGTGTTGCGTCATTCAGGCATGGGAACGGCCCGAAATCGTTAAATCCCATTAATAAACAGTGTGTGAGACTGGCACAGTGACAACTGCTGCCCAACCTACGACCCCGTGTCATTCAATAAGATGACGACACGAGCAACCCCGATTAAAATTGCCACCATTTGCCGAGCAATTTGATTTTACCCCTTAGGTAGTGGCTTAGCGTGGCTGGCAATGCGGCCCTGGTGCAAATGATGAAAGGGGCTCCCTCCCTGTCATAAACAAAACAACACATTGTTTGCAAAGGAATGAAACAAACATCCCAATACAAGGCCGTCGTTGAAATACTTCTGGATAAAGAAAAAAATACAATATCTTAAATTCACGCTTACAATAACAGCAGGGTTCACAGATAACGCGACATCGCAGTGATTAGCTGCTGCTATGTGGTGGAGCTTTTCAATCAAATCAGAGATTAACGGAAATGCCCTCCGTCACTTTGAACGATGATTGTGCTATTGTACTATTTCCACTTTAGCAGATCGTTCGCAATACTGGGCAGGCTGCGGAGATGGAAGGTTTTGCGCATCACGTCATTATTGGTGAGGCTGTGCCGACGCGTTAGGGCAGTGGTTCTTAACATTTACTGCGGCCTTGCTCCCCTTTGGTTCTTCATCTTAAAACAATATAATGTTAATAAATACATCGGTTTGATGAAACAAAGGAGTTGTACTTACGTGCCCGTGCTTAATTTGTGTTTCGATTATTTACCTTCTAAAAAAATCGGGCATTTCTCGCACCCCCAGGGGGTGCATGCACCCCAGATGAAGAACCACTGCGTTAGGGTGTTGCGTGGTGGTGTGTACGGTCATGTTCAGTGTGCGTGGGGGTGATGGTGTGATGGGGTGAGCGAGTCGTGGGTGATTGAAGAAAGGCCGGGTGGTGGGTGAGGGTCTGAATGTTGTGCGCGATTATGAGTGAGTGAGCGCGGAGTGTGTGGCGACTGACGGTGGACGCTCTGCGGAGCGATGGTGTGATGGGGTGATGGTGTGATGGGGTGATGGTGTGATGGGGTGATGGTGTGATGGGGTTATGGGGTGATGGTGTTATGGTGTGATGGGGTGATGGGGTGATGGTGTGATGGGGTGATGGTGTGATGCTGTGATGGGGTGATGGGGTGATGGTGTGATGGGGTGATGGGGTGATGGTGTGATGGGGTGATGTTGTGATGGTGTGATGGGGTGATGGTGTGATGGGGTGATGGTGTGATGGGGTGATGGGGTGATGGTGTGATGGTGTGATGGGGTGATGGTGTGATGCTGTGATGGGGTGATGGGGTGATGGGGTGATGGTGTGATAGGGTGATGGGGTGATGGTGTGATGGGGTGATGTTGTGATGGTGTGATGGGGTGATGGTGTGATGGGGTGATGGGGTGATGGTGTGATGGGGTGATGGGGTGATGGTGTTATGGTGTGATGGTGTGATGGGGTGATGGTGTGATGGGGTGATGGTGTGATGGGGTTATGGGGTGATGGTGTTATGGTGTGATGGGGTGATGGGGTGATGGTGTGATGGGGTGATGGTGTGATGCTGTGATGGGGTTATGGGGTGATGGGGTGATGGTGTGATGGGGTGATGGGGTGATGGTGTGATGGGGTGATGTTGTGATGGTGTGATGGGATGATGGTGTGATGGGGTGATGGTGTGATGGGGTGATGGGGTGATGGTGTGATGGTGTGATGGGGTGATGGTGTGATGCTGTGATGGGGTGATGGGGTGATGGGGTGATGGTGTGATAGGGTGATGGGGTGATGGTGTGATGGGGTGATGTTGTGATGGTGTGATGGGGTGATGGTGTGATGGGGTGATGGGGTGATGGTGTGATGGGGTGATGGTGTTATGGTGTGATGGTGTGATGGGGTGATGGTGTGATGGGGTGATGGTGTGATGGGGTGATGGTGTGATGGGGTGATGGGGTGATGGTGTGATGGGGTGATGTTGTGATGGTGTGATGGGGTGATGGTGTGATGGGGTGATGGTGTGATGGGGTGATGGGGTGATGGTGTTATGGGGTGATGGGGTGATGGTGTGATGCTGTGATGGGGTGATGATGTGATGGGGTGATGGTGTGATGGGGTGATGGTGTGATGGGGTGATGGGGTGATGGGCCATGGTGTGTGTAGAGCAGGGCGAGTGGAGCAGGGCTTAGCTTGTAAATCGAGCTGCTGTGAACGAGTTTTCACAAGGTTCACGGTTCGATTCCGGGTGCAGTCGCCGGGTTAATTCTAAGGGAATGACCAAACCACTGCTTCTAAAGAGAACATTATATATTAGGTGACATTCACGTGAAGAGAAAGGCATACTTTAAATATAAAATCACCGGGAGCCACAATGTAATAACAACACAAAACCCAGTTCGTACATGTGTGGTCAGTGCGGTGGTTGCGGAAGTCGGGGGAGCGAGAGGGGCGTGGGGGCGCAGATACGCTGGGACATATAAGTGCAGTACAACGATTGATTTTGCTGCACACTGCCCTCCTTGCCGACAGCGTAGCCCCCCCGCAGCTGACTACGGACACCAGCCCCCCCCCCCCCCCCCCAGTGTAATTTACTCAACGCCTGCGTCGCGCGCCTTCCCTGCCGAGCACGGGCAGTAAATCTCCGCGCGCGCGCTGTCCCGCTGCTTGCATAAATGCAATTGGATTAAATTTGTACTGCGTGGGGGGGGGGGGGCTCTCAGAGGTCCCGTGCCGTAAGGGGGCGGTTGGCGGTGTTAGCTGCTTCGCCAAGAGTGAGTTGCGAGGTGAGAGGGGGGGGGGGGGTGAAGGTGGTGAGCGAGTGCGTAACGCGCGTACGGTGGGTGTTGTTTTGTTTTCCTCTAGTCGCGCTGGTTGCTTGTTGGATGTGGGGTGAGTGTGTGCGTGTGTGCGGTGAGGCTAGTCTCGAAATGCGTGGTGAGGGTCGTCTATGTCGCGTGCGGGGTTGTGGCGAGGTTGTTGCTCTACGATACGCGGAGTGGTGAGGCTGTTGTTCTTAGTTGTGCCGGGGTGGTGAGGGATAATCTAGGAATTGTGGTAATTGTATGATTCTAGGATTTCGAAATTCGTGTCGTGTGTTATGAAGGTGTTGTTCAAGGATATGTGGTGAGTGTGGGGTTTTGTTTTCCATCGGCTGGGTGGGGTGGCGGGGTGAGTAGGGAGGGCGGGCGGGGGGGTGAGCGGGGTGCGATTGCGCGATGAGTGATTCTCTTGCACGAGGCACGGGTGTCAACGAGGGTGGTGAGTGGGGGGGGCGAGGTGAGCTGCCTCTCCCTGAGGGGGTTGTGGGGGGGTGCGCTCACTCTGGCTGGGCTAGGTGAGTGGCGGCGCGGGGGGCCACGGGGCTCATGGGCTGCGGGGCTTGTGTCGGAAGAAGACAATCGCGTTCATCCTCATCCCCCCCCCCCCCCCGCTACAGCTTCCACGAACGATCGCATCCTCTCCATCACTCGACCCGGAGGGAGCCAAGGGCGAGCGAGGGAACCTCGCGTGTTTTCTCCCTCCTCCTCCGGCTCACGCAGCGCACGATAATCCCATCGACTCGACGTTATTAATATTATTTCAACACAATTCTGCCACCGGCAATCACATTCGGCGTCGCGTGCTGCCCACCCGCAGGTCGTCGTTGTCTCGCAGCAATCAGCGCGGGCTGCTGGATCCTCTATCCCTCCTCCGTGTCCTCCTCCTCCTCCTCATTCTCTTCCTCCTCGGATTCTTGGCCGCTGCCTCCGCCGAGCGTGGGTGAGGATGACGGCGCTGGCGCGAATGGCAGCAGCGATGCTCTGCCTGCTCGGCTGCACGTTGGATGGTGAGTGACAGCACACCGCACCGGAACGTTTTGATTTGTTCCCCGACGGCAAACGGATTTTTTTTTGTTTTCTTACATCGTTCCTCGTGCCGTTCTTCGCGTCGTTCGGGCCCCGGTTGTGTCTCCTGCGCTCAGCTCGCTCTCACCAGTCTGCCATCCCCGTGGCCTCTGCGCATCGCACTATCTCGTCGCGCGCGTGCGTGTCGTGCGCGTCAGTGGCCCGGTTTGTGTTATTTGCATGGGGGGGGGGGGGGGGTTAGCTAAGGTGGTCGATGTAAAAAAAAATGTAACCCCGTTCACAAATATCGTAACGGGGGGGGGGGGCCCTGGGGAAGCGTGGATTGTGAGCGTCGCTGTGTTTGTGTCTTTGTGATGGTGTTCGCGCTTCGTGGAGCGATGTCCGGCGCTGTTTCGCACGGAGCCGCTTCGAATCGGCTCCGTGCATAACGCGCAATGAAACCCGCGTCATGCATGGTGCGCGTGGGGGCGGCGGTGGGCGGGGGGGGGGGGGCATATTTAGCTTCGAAATAATCGTATCGGAGGGGGGGGGGGTACGGAAGGTGGGCAGGTGGAGAGCAGTCGAAGGCTGGTGCTCGTTGAGCCGTCCTCCGCATGAAGGTTTCTCGCGGAATGTTTACGAAATGACAGTCGATGCTCGTGACGCGCGCGCACTTACGTAACTGTTACGAGAGGCGACGAGAGAGAGAGTTAACGAATGGCTTTCGTGTGGGGGGCGTGCGTGCACGCCACGCGGCGGTTTTGGCTGTGGCATCGTGTGCACGCGGCCACACACTAATTAATGAATGATGCGTGAATTGTGATTGTGGAGAATGCAGTAGGCCTTGCCGAATGCGCAGTTAGGTAATTTGTCTCTTTAAAAAAAAAAACCTGGTGAGTTGAGAATCCATGGTTTGTTTTAAAACTCTCACTAGCAACCCGGAAAATTAATTTCTACTCACAGACACACAACATCCGGTATCTTTTTCTCTCTCTCTCTCTCTGTGACGGTGGCAGTCAGTCACAGGCCTATTGGGGTCAACCAGCTTCCCAGGGAATATTCAATGGGGAAATTAACGCCCTGGATTAAATCAAGGGTACAGTATTTTTCAAGGTAGACATCAGTCACGACACCAGTTCAGTTTCAAAACCAAAAGGAAATTTAGGGTTAAACAACAGCGACTACAGACTTAGAACTGTGAAGTAACACAACACAGTTACGATGCGGGGGGGGGTGGGGGGGTGATGGCGGCACAGTGGTTATGTTACTGTCCTATTCAGTGGGAAACTTGCCACCTGAGTTTGATTTCCGGCCACAGTTAACACTGGCGGCGAGTAATGTCTGAACCATGTCCTGGGTTCCGGCCATCACAACAGCAACAACGGACAGCCGCCATTCGCCACAAAGTAACGGTGACGTCACCACGGCGCTTGTGACATCACACACACACACCAGCGCGATGAAGCATTGGTCAAGTAACCCGTAACGGCACGTGGGAGGTCTTCGTTCAGCGGTGGATGGGCAAAGAGCTGCAACATTATTGTGTTCTGTAAAGCCTGCAATTGGAACTTATGTCGGTGAGATGCATTGCAATGTTTTGTGTGCGCTGGTGCAGGGTGCAGGGCATCAGAAGCCGCGAGTCGTCTCTACAAGACTCTGTTCACGAGTTACAACCCCTACATCCGACCCGTGTTCAACGTGTCCGATCCGGTCATCGTGAGATTTGAGGTGTCCATGTCACAGCTGGTCAAGCTGGTGAGTACTCACAGCTGATCATGCCCACTTATTCGGTTTTTGCTTTTACAATTTCACGACACTTGACGTGCTGTGCATCTACGAGGAGGGAATACGCCGGAGAGGACGTCCGCAGAAGAGGCGGTGCAGTGCAATAGTCTCGCGTGCAGGTGCTCGATAGAGTGTGAGGTTGCAGGACCACGAGAGATGGTGATAGGTAGGTGAGGGAGATCTTCGCCCAGTAATACCATCAGCTAACGCTGATGGTAATACTGTAATGCTAATAATTTTGAGGCCTTTTTCAATGCACTGCTGGATGAAGGCCACCATTTGATCTTGGAATGTCACCACATTTATTAGTGCTGGTTGGTGATCAGCGTGGTGGGGGGGGGGGGGGGGGGGTGCAGGACTGGTTCAGATATTTTTCGCAAATTCGCATCGCTCTAGTTCATAAAGCAATGCACGCATCACCACTCCAATCCAACATTCCACGTGCTTATTTTCATCTAATCTCTAAAGTACACAATCAACTGGCCGAGGATTCATGTCACGTTTCGTTGTTGTACGTGCAATGTCTGAACATTCGGGTGTGCCTGTTCCCTTTACAGGATGAAGTGAATCAAATAATGGCGACAAACCTCTGGCTTAAACACGTAAGTCTCTTTCCGCGGTGAGCGTCATATATTTGTATAGACAATACATTTTCAAAATGAAAATATTCTGATAATGGTTACTCCTGCAAACCTAATGTTGGGATATTCCCAGGAAACGTGGACATTTGGGCCAACGTTGGGCCAACGTTGGCTCAACTGCTCCAACCAAATGTGAACATTGGCCTAACCTTGCATTCTTATCTTCTTTGGTTCTTTCGGTAAAGTCACGTAGAATGAGAATAAAATAATAAATTGATTAAATAAAATAACACAATAATATTCTCACGACGTTTCGGCCACAACACAAGCGGCCTTCATCAGGTGAAGGGACGAGACTGTCTGGTAGGACAGCGCTGGAGTGAAAAAAGGCACGCTCAGATCACGACCTTTAAGCTGTGTCAGAAGAAACAAAGCGCCTTGACAAAGGAATTAGCATATAATTTAGCATTGAAATGGCCGAGTGATTAGCTTGTGACTGGTCACAGAAATGGCTATGTTAGCCATTGCTGTGACCAGTCACAAGCTAATCACTCGGCCATTGGCTATGTTAGCCATTTCTGTGACCAGTCACAAGCTAATCACTCGGCCATTTCAATGCTAAATTATATGCTAATTCCTTTGTCAAGGCGCTTTGTTTCTTCTGACACAGCTTAAAGGTCGTGATCTGAGCGTGCCTTTTTTCACTCCAGCGCTGTCCTACCAGACAGTCTCGTCCCTTCACCTGATTAAGGCCGCTTGTGTTGTGGCCGAAACGTCGTGAGAATATTATTGTTATTTTATTTTATCAATTTATTATTTTATTCTCATTCTACGTGACTTTACCGAAAGAACCAAATAAGATTAATCCTTGCAGTCACGAAAGCTTTAAATCGAAACTTGCATTCTAAATTGGGTTGTACTTTAGATGGGCCAATTCACTGTTCACGCGGTATAACACGTTGATATCGCCATATTTACAAAGTCGCGTACGTTCTAAAACGTTGTTCAAATGCGCACACTGCCCGTTTAAAAACGGTAAGTTAATGAATATCTGTCGTTGTTAAAACCGAAAAAAATAAGAGAGTTACAACGGCAAAAATGCTCACCCTGGTGCTTAAATATTTATTTCTCAAAACGTTTCGACCGCCCATCGAAAAGAAAGCAATTAATACCGTGACTGCGCTGTTCCGCACGGACGGCTTGAAATTGGTATCTTGCAAACGATGTCAGCAAATGTAATCGAGACGCTCGTAACCACGGTCTCCATCGGACTGTGCACTTCTACGGCGCGTCTTTGTGCTTCATTTATCTGTGTTCGTTGCAGACCTGGAATGACTACAAGTTCCAGTGGAACCCCGGACAATTCGAAGGCATGGAGTACATCCGAGTGCCTTCGGACAAGATCTGGAAGCCAGACATAGTTTTGTACAACAAGTAAGGCATCTTTTAATCGTGTTGACTTGATACCCAAATATCGCCACAAAGCGGGGAACTTGTTGCTTTATTGGCTTGCGTCAATGCATGTCGATCGATGCAATTTATGCCACTGGAAGAGAACCCGCTGAGGTTCGTAATCATGTTTTAAAGTTTTCTCGTGTCAAAAATGGGTTATCTTCAAGTCAAAGTCTTGCAAATGAATAAAATTGCATGTCTTGCCAAAAATATATAAAAGATATACGTAAAATGTAAGCGTTCAGTGTCATTCTAACCCATATAATCTAAGCATTATTTTGCCATGTTTTCTTTGTTTGCTTACAATAACCCTCCTCAACAGCGCGGACGGAGACTTCCAAGTGGAAGGCAAGACCAAAGCTCTGCTCAAGTACGACGGCACGGTGATGTGGATGCCGCCGGCGATTTTCAAAAGTTCGTGCAAGATCGACGTCACTTACTTCCCCTTCGACTACCAGAACTGCACCATGAAATTCGGCTCTTGGACCTACGACAAGGCCAAGATCGACCTGGTGCTGGTCGGCACCAAGATCAACCTCAAGGACTTTTGGGAAAGCGGAGAGTGGGTAATCATCGACGTCCCAGGCTACAAGCACGACATCAAGTACAACTGCTGCGAACAGATATACCCCGACATTACCTACTCGGTGTACGTGCGGCGCCTTCCACTCTTCTACACCATCAATTTAATCATCCCCTGCCTGTTGATCTCATTCCTGACCGTCCTGGTCTTTTACCTCCCCTCCGACTGCGGGGAGAAAGTGACACTGTCCATCTCGGTGCTGCTGTCCCTCACCGTGTTCCTCCTCGTCATCACGGAGACCATCCCGTCCACGTCGCTCGTCATCCCGCTCATCGGCGAGTATCTCCTCTTCACCATGATCTTCGTGACCCTCTCCATCGTCATCACCATCTTCGTGCTCAACGTGCACTACCGCACGCCGGAGGCGCACACGATGCCCAACTGGGTGCGCCGGGTCTTCCTCGACACGCTGCCCAAGATCATGCTGCTGCAGCCACCCAAGGGCTCCGTGGGCACGGCGGCGTCGCCCGACGCGGTCGTGGCGGAGGCCGACCAGCAGCCGGCGTGCCTCTGCGCCGGCGAGCTGTCGGCGGCGGCGGCGGCGAGCAGCAGCAGCAGCTGCCAAAGCGGCGGCATTTCGAGGGCCTCAAGCTCGATGGAGGCGCACGTGTCATCCGTGCGGCTGCCGAGGCTGCGCGCGGCTGACGTGATGTCGGACGAGCTGTCGAGCTCGTCCAGCACGGAGTCGCTCGACGCGCTGCTCGCCCTCTGCCTGCTCTCGCCCGAGATCCGCCAGGTGATCGACAGCGTCAAGTACATCGCCGAGAACCTGCGGACTCAAGACGAGGCCAAGGAGGTGATTGGACGCGTCCTTGAAATGTGTTTTTTTTTGTTATGGATGGAAATTGTTTTTGATTTTTTCAGTTTCAGTTTCATTTATTAGGTTTCACCCTGTAAGCCATGCGGCTCTTGACTAGGGTGCAACCGCAACAAACAAAAACATGGACAAGAAACATCTTAAAGTGACTACACGAACAGAAAAATCCGGGAAAAAACAGCAAAGTCTTCCAGAAAAAATACCGTATATCAACGCTTTTTTGCGCGAAGTGCATCTGTATTATAACTGATTACTTTGCAAAAGTAAGTGCGTTGTTGTTTATAGTTTTACTACAACCATATCCTCTATAGTCCTGTCTCTAGCCTGCGTCAGTCTACCAGCAACCCACGAACAAAATATTATGGAAATACTTTGTCAGTAATGCGGCTTGTGTGGCTATACTTCACCATGCTGGTCTGTGTGAGTTGGTGAAGGTGGGTGGCCTAGCATAGTTTCAAATATCACTCACTGCTGATGTTAATCGCGACCAGAACTCCAACTCTTTTCAAAGAGTTCACACCGCATTGTGTTAACCACTGCGCCACCACTCTCTGGCATTACTATGAATTTTGGTTATATCAGCGCCTCATGGGACAGCTGCTATTTGTTACAACGTCACATTGCATAGAGGAGAACAGGTGCTAATGCGCAGATTAAATACACGTGCCTACTCAAAACAGACATTTCACTTTTGAACCTCTGCCTCTTCCTAAAAAAATACAATGCAGCGCACGAAGCCAAATCATCGTGCAGCCATGATGTTGCGAGACCGATGGTGGACTCCATCCCTCTGTCTGTCGGTTCCGGCTCTCTCTCTGCACGTGTGTGTGAGTACAGGTGTGCGACGACTGGAAGTATGTGGCCATGGTAGTGGATCGCATTTTCCTGTGGGTCTTCGTGCTGGTCTGCATCCTCGGCACGGCTGGGCTCTTCCTGCAGCCGCTCATGGCAGGGGAAGACATGTGAAGAGAACAGCGACCATACCAAGCTTCCCCCCCCCCCCCACCAAAACAGAAGTGCCCTACGACTCCATCCCTTGACCTCTGAACTCACATATGCCTTTGAAAGTGCATCATTAGTGGCGGCACGAGCAATCGATTCTAGCCCCCCCCCCCTTTAGTTGTATTCGCCAAGCCCTCATTTAAGGCATCTGGCTAATGTGGACTCGTATACTAATTACCACTGAGAGGAGCTCAAATAGTGGCGTCCCTTCCGCTAGCAGTGGCAATGAGCAAGTGAATGCAGTGCTGCTCCTTTACCTGCAAACATCTTTTCATCATCTCATCGGGATGGGGGGAAGGGGGGCAGCAGTGGGTGGGTTGGGAGGGTCATAGGTCACCCCCATACACGTAGTGCTGTTGTCATGCCGGAGTTGAAACGTTGGGAAACAAGACATTCTGATTCACAGCGATACCATGCACAAACGTCAAACCAGCATTGGGTCTCCACTGCTTGCGTATCACTATCGAGGGTCCTAGCCTGGCCACGGATGCCGGCGCAGAGAAAAAGAAACAAACTCGATTTAAAAAAACATCTTGTTTATGCGTACTGCATCCTCCCCTTCAATCAGCACACACGAGGGCTCAACGTTCACGTTGGTAGGCGTGCGGTCAGTGATTGGGTGTTGTTTGCCGTCCGTGGGGGGATCTCAGCGTTGTGCCACTGCTCTGCCGTGCGCCCGGGGGCTTAATGAAGTGTACGGCGTCGCCGTGTCCACGCCCGGCACGAAGCACCCGCCGAATTCAGACCTAGTTCCAACCTCCTCTATGGTCCTGTCTCGAGGCCTGCGTCAGTCGACCAGCGACCCACGGACGATATATTCCGAGAGACATTCAGCCCCGCGCGTGTGTGTGTACGTGTCTACATGGGGGGGGGGGGGGGGGGGGGGGCATGGGGGGGAGCGGTAGTGTAGCGGTTAGCGCGCTCACTACGAACCCGGCGACCCGAGTTCCATTCCTGCTCACGGCCAACACCAGTGGCGAATATTTGAACCAGTCCTGGGCCTCCCTTAGGTCGACTCAGCCACAAATGAGTACCTCATGCAGTGTGGAAACATCGCTACTGAGGAGACAACGGCGGCCGGGCTTGGTGTTGGCCACCCACCCTCTCGCTTTCATAGGTGCTCTCTAACAGCACATCCTCCTACAGCCTGTTAAGGCTACACGTGGGATCTTTGTCTTGTCTACATAATCCGGCATACCATTTGGGAGAAATTGATGCCAAACGTGGTGCGTAAATGTCGCCTAAAATGCTGCGTTCCAGGAAGGCACGCGTAAACGAGCGCGGTGTTTATTAAATGCTTTGTTTGTGCCCCACAGATTTAGACTATCAGGGGAAAACCGAAGCAATCGGACTGTGCATGCATTTTATCGCAGAGCAACAACTAACGTTATCTCTTGTCGAAGTGCACATGGCACATACAATCACTCTTTGTGAACACGTGCTTTTTAGATAAGCCTTCATTGATCACAAATTTTCATTAGCTCTGAAGAGTCAGGTGACTCCTAATAGCCCTTTTGATTGTGTGCTTACATGTACCGCTTTGCAATAATCAGTAGTCGGCCAGCATCAATTATGAGGCTTCCGTATCAATGGTAGAGGCACAAACACTCCACGGATGCCACATTTATGCTACTTCCAAGTAAATAAAAAAAACTTAAATTATCAGGGCCATGAAATCAATTACATTTTCACCTCTCTATCCAATATCCACACTTCATTACAGCGGAGCAGTAATAGGATTGATTGTAACCTTCGAATATAAAAAAGTGACATCTTGAGTCACACACCTATACTGTATACATATCTACCTACATATGCATTGCTTAACAATCACTCGCTGGCGGAAGTCTAGCTGGGAGTTTTATACATAAGGAGGGCAGACGCACACACGGTCACATTGAACGTAGTGGGATGCTTCTTCTTTGGTTCTTTCGGTAAAGTCACGTAGAATGAGAATAAAATAATAAATTGATAAAATAAAATAACACAATAATATTCTCACGACGTTATTATTTTATTCTCATTCTACGTGACTTTACCGAAAGAACCAAAGAAGATGAATCCTTGCAGTCACGAAAGCTTTAAATCGAAATTTAGTGGGATGATGTTGGCATGAATGACGCTCTATTAAATTAAAGTATTATTATTAATAAATAATACTTGTCTTCATAATATGCTTGTTATATAGCTTATGACCAAATCGTCCGGCATGTGCCCGATCCTATTAAATCTCAAAGGCTAAGCAGGTCTCAACCTGGATTGTGCTTGTATGGGTGACCGTCATTCGGGGGCTACATTGGGGTGGGGTGTGGGTGGGGTGGTCTGGAAGGCAGTACAGAAACATGCAGACACTCCTGTACTTATGGACATTCGACTCACGAAATTTCAGAGATACGAACAAACCCGTCCGTATGTCCAGTCGCCTGTTCGAACCGAGAGTCGTAAGTTCAACCGCCACTCAATATAGGGCGGTGGTGGTGGCATTTACATCTGCAGAACGTGAAGAACCAGTGGCATCTTCATCTGCAGAATATGAAGAACCAGTGGCATCTTCATCTGCAGAACATGAAGAACCAATGGCATCTACATCTGCTGAACGTGAAGAACCAGTGGCATCTACATCTGCAGAACGCAAAGAACCAGTGGCATCTTCATCTGCAGAATATTAAGAACCAGTGTCATCTACATCTGCAGAACGTGAAGAACCAGTGTCATCTACATCTGCAGAACGTGAAGAACCAGTGGCATCTACATCTGCAGAACATGAAGAACCAGTGTCATCTACATCTGCAGAACATGAAGAAACAGTGGCATCTACATCTACAGGAGATTATACAACTTTAAAGCCAGTTCCCGTGTTTAGTGTACACGTCGTACAACATGTTTGGAATCGACATGAGTAAAGTTGGGCTTACGAACAAACCTCTGGAACCAAACTCGTTCGTAAATAGAGGAATCCCTGTACATTGTTGTACTGTACTAACTTGCTAGCATGTTCATGCTCCCCACTTCCACCAAATGGCACTCGCCATCGTAACGACGCATGGTCAAATAACCTCAAATGATCCACACATCGTGGGGAGGCCCTCATCCAGCAATTGATTTACAAAAAGGGCTGTGCGTGTTCTGTGTTTATTTATAAATCATACACCTGTACGTTGCTAAATCGGTGGGTTAAGTGACATAAGTCATCAGACTGTGTGCGTGAGACACCCGACGCCTATGTTTCCCGCCTGCCCTGGCTATCCTAGAATTGTTATATTTTGAGGACATTGACAGTCCGGGTAATTGTCAGTTGCATATTAACAATACAAATAATACACCACTCACTCTTTCTGTGTTGTGAGATGTTCTCCTTAACCCATGATGCTTATCGGTTTATTGTTCTGCAGAGGTGGCCACCCCTAGACACATTTTTGTCCGTTCGAGAAATGCTAAAATGTGGCAGAGGACAAATTTTAGGATCGCCTGTGAGAGACTCTACGTTTTTGTGTTGAAGTCGGGAACTCAGTTGTGAAGATTCACTGGCAAATATATATAAATCTGTGGAAGGATTTCTGATTAAATTGCGGGGTCTTTTGTAGGCAACACTGAACCATAAAATGTAACGGGCCCATTTTCCAGTGTTCTCTGCTTGTGTGTGTGTGCGTGTATAGTTTATGTTCGCAATCCTAACGGCAGGCTGCCCTTTAATACGTCTCACAAACCCACCCCGCTGAACTGCACTGCACCGCATACACTCCGGCTCTACGCCTCACCGTGTATCACTCGCTCATTTAGGCTCCCGCTGCGAGACGAGAAAGGGATTGGGCACCCTCTCTGCTACAGTTAAGTGCCAGTGGTGGATGGCGTGGTCGGCATGGGACGTGGTGCAAATAATCACATGGGGCCCCCCGTTTAACCTCTGCCCTCTTTTCTTAACCCCTGCACCTTGGTGTCCCTCCGATCCGTGGGCTCTGGTGCAGTCGCACCGCCTGCACACACGCGATAGCCACGCCACCGATAAGTGCATGCACTACTATATCCGATACTCTTGCGGTCACCTATATTAAGTCTGTTTTACTGCTGCCACTTTCAATTTTTTTACACGCCGTTCCAATATATGTTTAAGATAACTTCGCATTATTTTTGCGAGTGCAATTCCACTAAAAATGCAATTATGGCAGTATTATAAAATACAGCATCAGCCGGCAATTGAACTATAGCACCGCAGTAAAATGTATTAGTCTCCATGGTCCGCATTTAAGTAGTTTTTTTTTTCCCACATTGAATGCAATAGTGACATTTTGGGATTTAACCATTGGAACACCTTGTGAAAGAGAGTTTAAAAGAGATCAGGCGCAAAGTGTTATTTTGAAATGAATTGCTGCAGGGCAGACTGTGACTGACTCCCGTCATGAATTATTCACGATGCCCTCTTTACGTGGTAAGAAGGTGGCTGGTACCTTCACAGAGCGTGTGCCTGCAGCGGCTGAAGCAAGTTAAACAGAAATCAAATGCATTTCTTTAAACTTTTTATTATTATTCTGTATTGGTATCTAATTTTCCCGACGTTTGCTTTGCTGCACTATGTGTTCTGTATATTGTATATATTTTCCAAATCCCTAGGTCGTGTCGCACTTTAATGTTCTTTGTTGCAATGTCTGGTATTTTTCAGCAATTATTCATGGTTATTATTTAAATGTTCGGAAATACATAGTGTTAAAACGATTATTATTATGCTCTCCTTGGTCGGAATATAAACTTTAATAATGTTAGTAACTGCACGGTGTATTGGTGGATTTGTTTGCGAGACTCTCCGAACGGGTTGTTGGATTCAAAGTAGTGAACCACGCCTGCTGGGTTTACGGAGGTGGAGTAGATCCTGTCTAGGATACAATTTACAATACAATAGAATGGAATGCAGATTTATACAGCATCTGATTGCCTACTACATCTCTAGATGTTCTGCAGAACAATGGTAAAAGTGGAGTCCCAATATCTTCCCTCGTTCCTCTGCCTACGACTG